GAGTGCAAGCGCCCTATAGCAAAAACCTCTCCAAAAAGAAAAAAAAAAAAAAAAAACAGGGAGGACTTCCATTCCTTTACTTGACAGCTAAACTAATGTTGATACACACACAGAGTTAAAAATGTCAATAGTTTCTCTAGAGATGATTACATTACTGTTTTTGTTTGTTTGTTGGAGTGTAGGGTGTTCACCAGCCAGAGACAGTGAGAAGCAAAGTGAGAAATCACCCCTGGTGGAATGGCCACGCTGCAATCCCTTCTCCTCCATTCTCATCCTGGGATTTTGGGCAGATGTGTTCATGGTGTGATTTTCAAACTTCTGGGTCTGGAACTCGAGTCACAGTTGGCCATTTAGGAGTCCAGCACTTGATCATCATGTCATCTACTGACCCCAGATTACTGATGATTTTAAAATTGTGTGTATGTATGTTTTCTAAAGCAATATTCACTTCATATTATGTTATTTATTTATTATTTGCTGTAGGGCACACACACTGACCAGAGAGAGACAGAGGGAATGCCAGAAAGCACCCCCAGGGGGATGGCCTCACACACAATCCCTTTATCTTTAATTCTCGGGATTTGGGGCACACATGCACACTGGCCTGGAAGCTACCAGGTCCAGGACTCAAACTGCAGTTAGCCATGTGCGGTCCAGCTGCCTTGACTACCACACCACTGGCTGACCCCTATGTTATTTGTTTTGTTTTGCTCTACTGTGAATCAAATTTCCCCACAAGAGAAATTTTATTGATTACTTTCTTTCCCCTCACAAAAAGACCAACTGAAATCGGGAACCAGCAGTTAGCGTAATGGCTATGTCACTGGACTCCCACGTAGTCGACCGTGGTTCCTGTCCCGGACCCGGTGGCTTAACTCACGCCGGGCACATGTGCGTGCGTGCCCAAGATCCCAAGAGGAGAATGGAGGAGAAGGGATTGCGGCGTGGCCATCCCCCCTGGGGGGTGATTTCTCGCTTTCTGTCTCTCTGGCGAGCGCACGCACCCTATAGCAAAAAATAAATAAATAAATAAAAAGAGAGATGAACATTCTCCTGGAGATTTTATTGAACAAAAGAGAAAGCTTAGAACTGGATCACTTGACCCTCTCCCTTCTCTCCTTCTAGTTTAAAATGCTTATATCTCTTAACAGACAACATTCTATTTTTTTCTTTTCTTTTCTTTTCTTTTTTGTGGGGGTGGATTTTTGCTATAGAGCATGTGTGCTCACCAGAGAAGCAGAGAGACAGAGAAACAGAAAGCAAGAGATCACCCCGGGCGGGGGTGACCAGGCCACAACCTTCTGCATTCTCCTCTCTCGGGATTTTGGGCATGCACGCACACACACCTGGTGTGAATTTCAAGCCACAGTGGGAGTCCAGCAAAGTAACCATTATGCCATCTGCTGCTCCCAGCAGCCAGCATTCTTTTAGACCCCAGTTGGGCTCAACATAGTCAAGTCTTAGCACAATCTTCTTTATAATTTTTTTTTCCCTGGAAAATGGGCTTAGTTTGTCCACCATAGCCACATTGCTTCCTGTCAGAACACCTGAATGTATAGAGAATTCTTGCCCTTTTGTACTGTGTCACTTCGTGGACTTGGAAAGAAATCCAGGAGATTTTAGGGATATTCACCATGTGTGTGGGCATGCTGTCTGCACAGAAAAAAAGGATATTATTTGTGTTGAATTTCAAGCCACAGTGGGAGTCCAGCAAAGTAATGGCTATGTCGCTGGATTCCCACGTAGTCGACCGCGGTTCGTGTCCCGGACCCGGTGGCTTAAAACTCACGCCGGGCGCGTGTGCGTGCGTGCCCAAGATCCCAAGAGGAGAATGGAGGAGAAGGGATTGCGGCGTGACCATCCCCCCTGGGGGGTGATTTCTTGCTTTCTGTCTCTATGTCTCTCTCTGTCTGTCTGGCGAGCGCACGCGCCCTACAGTGAAAATCTCTCAAAAACAAACAAACAAACAAACAAACAAAAAAAAAACAAAAAAAAAAAAGAAAAAAAAAATAAACATTTAGGGTCAACTCCATGGCCTGGTGGATAAGGATATCAAAATCCAGTTGGCCAACCATGTGGTTTGGGTTGAGAAACACACTAGGAGCATTTATGTGCATTCCCATAATCCCAAAAAGAGGAAGAGATGTTGGGGAAGGATTGCTGAGTGATCATTCTTCATGGTGTGTGTGTGGGTGTGTTTTCTTCTCCCCACCTCTTACTCTGCACACACACCCTCTGGCAGAAACCAACCCCCCCCCAAAAAAAAAAAAACCCTATTGTATTTTAAAGAAATGTTCAACAGAAAAAAATAAAAAGAAAGAACAAAGAAACATTCAACAGGTAAGCCAGGGACAGGACCGTGGTCCTAATCTGCACCAGGCACTAATTGCCGCCTGAAAGAAATACGCAATCTCATAAGCAGAGTGTGTTTGCTCTCAAGCTGCTGCCTAAAGACAATTCCTTTTCAGGCTGATTACTGAAACAATGCCGCTCTTATAAAGTCATTTTAGGAGCTGCCATTCGTGCAAAGGCTATAAAAACAAATCCAGTCCCCTATACAATGGGGACGATTATTCCTCTCTCACCTCAGAGCTGAGGGTTAAATGCACTTGGAACAGTGTCTGGCATAAGCGCTACCTAAGCATTAGCTATTATTTTCTTTACTAGTACTGGTTCCTAGGCTCTCCCAGGCAGGTAAGAAAGTGTGGGGAAGGGATTTGGAGAGCAGAGCTGAGGCTAAATCGCGGTATGCAAAAATGGCAGACCCACAGCACAGGCCGTCTTCTAGGAACCTCGTCCCCTGCGGCCAGCACAACACAGCAGGGCCTGCCAGAGCTCCAGAATTGGCCCCAGTGGTCGGGTGTCCGGGTCTTTGGGGGGGTTGTCATCAATTCCATCCTTTGTAGTACAATTGGGGGGCCAGCAGGCGCCCAGAATCCCAGAGAATGGAGAAGTACTGCAACGTGGCCATCTCCCCTGGGACGGGGCGGGGAGGGGGGGGTCCTCACTTTCCCTCTCTCCAGCAAGCACAGCGGCCTTAAAGCAAAGTTTTAATAATTTTTTTTTTTAATAAAAATAAAATTGGGGTATGGAAGCCCTCGGGGAGAAGAAAGGAGTCCACAGAATTGCATGGTTAGAGGCGGAGCCGGGGCTGGGTCGGGCCAGGCCTCCAGCAGCCCAGATGACCTTCTAGGGGGCACACTCCCTCCGGGTGCTGGGTCCGCAGCGGGCGCAAGGCGACGGCCCAACCGGGTGGGTGACAGGGCAGCCCCGCGCGGCGGGAACTACGCTTCCCAGCATGCAACCGGCGCAGCGCAAGGCCTGCTGGGAGTGTTCATTACCCTCCGAGCCTCGGTAACTACGACTCGCTCGGGTCTCCTCTAGGCCCCGCCCCCTAGAGAGCGGGGACCGTCCCGCGAGCTGCTTCCTCCTCCCCTCTCATTGGTGTAGCCTGGCTGCCATTCGGGCCGGAGGAGGGGGAACTGCTCGCTGATTGGTGGATTCAGTTTGGCGCCAACTAGGAAAGGGAGCGGGGCAGCGGCAGCCCCCAGGGAGCAGCTATTACCGCGAAAGGCCACCAAGACAGCGACAGAGGTCGGCCTGGTTCTCTACGACCCAGGCTGGGCAAGGGAGTGAGAGGAAAGAGACTGAGCCCAGGCCGTTGCCTTGACGCTCTCGCCCGCTCGACCCTCCGCGTTTGTTTGGATTTAATCTTCAGGTTGCCGGCGCCCGCCCGCCCGCTGGCCTCGCGGGGTGAAAGGGAAGCACCCGAGCTTGCGGCTGGC